CCACTCTCACCACTGGTCCTGAAGGGATCATCTGACCTGGATTCCCTGTGTTTCCAGTTCCTATCTGTACCAGTGTACATCCTCTGGTCTAACCAGATTTGTAAGGTAGAATTGGGATCATGATAGTGGGGGGAGAAAGCATTTAAGAACTAGAGGAAAGTTGTATGTTTCATCTAAGAGGCCCCGCCTCCATCCTCGGCACCACTGCATCTGGAGACCAGGAATGGGGGCTGCGGGCATTCACTAAACTCTCTGTGAACCAGGAGTCTTGGTGTGGAAAACTCCCGGGAAGACGTGTATGGGAGCCCCGAGTGAAGAGGACAGGCTGAAAGAGGTCCTGGTGACAAGGCTGCAGGCCTGGCTCCCTGGGTCTGGTGGATCCCGGGGAGTGGAGAGGGGGCGGTTCAGCGAGACCAGCAGCAGCAGATGTCTTTGAGACACATTTGGACAGGGAGCATAGAAAACTGGTTACGGACATGGACTCTGTCGTTAGCCCATCTAGTTCTCTTTCTGGCCGAGTGACTGCGACTTGGAGACACTTACGCTGCCTCCCTGTTCCTAATTCCTCACACCAGTTATGCAGATCCCATGGAGTTGTTTTGAAGATTAACTAGATGGATTCGTTTCTGTGAGAGACTTAGGAGTGCTCATACCTAGTCAGTGTTCCAAAACTGTTAGCGATTATTTGTATTCCAGAAGTCCTGTGCTCTGGTTTGGGAGGTGAGGTATGTCTGGAGCCTCCTGTCCTGCAGACATGGGCTCTGTGCTCCAGGTGAAAGGGACAAATGGGGCCTTGACATCCTCCAAATACTTCTTCACACCTTAGTTTTCCTTTCCAACCCTACCTGATCACCTGGGAACAATTTGGAAAAATAGGGGTGGTAAATGCTGAGGCCAGGAAGGGCCCTGATCAGGAGAAAATGTAGCCAACCACCACCCCTACTTTGTCGGGTGAACCACAAAGAGAAAGCGTTGGAAGTTGGTCTAGGGGTGGGAGGTGGGAGGCGCAGCAATATAGACAGCAATCTGGCTCCAGTTCTCAGTGGTCTCTGTGGTGGAGCCCCCTCCCCGGGAAGCCAAGGTCTGGGAACGCTCCAGAAAGCGCCACAGTGCATTGTGTTCTTCCAAGAGACGGCAGCTGCCTGTATTCTAACCAGACTCCAGAACTGGCCAAGGAGAAAAAACCACACAGAAGTTCGGGTTTACTAAACAACAGGCAACAGGAAGCGGAAATAACATCACAACCTCTTTATTTTGACTTCCCCTGAGGCCAGCCTCTGGGAGCAAAGCTCCTTCTGCAGTGCCCTTGAAGGCCGGGCCAGGGGAGGAGCATGCAGCTGCAGTGGTGGGAAGACAGGCTTGCGGACCCTCATCTCAGCTCACTGACACGTCACTGTCCACAGGAAAGCACAGGTGGGGCATGAGGGACTGAGGGGGCTGGGCTCTTGAGTGCTGCTTGTGGTCTGCGTCCCCCTCACCAGCTAGTTTTGCCTGAGGGAGAGGTCCCAGGCCATCTTAATGGCTAGAAGCTGCTGGGAGGCTCTCTCATCATAGATATCGAAAGACCCCACGACTTCTGCCTTGATCTCAGGCCAACCCAGAGCAGTACAAACAGGAACATGATTGGGCTCGTAGGCATTGATCTGGACACAGCTCAGTGGCCCCGAGAAGAGTGGGGGTTCCCTGGGCTTCACCTTTTCCTTCCCACTGGTTGCATCTGTAACTTGTTCACGTTCGTTTTGAGGTTGCCAATGGCAGTGGCAACAGAAAGCAACAGTAGGAAGAATGCTCACTCCCACCTGAGCCCAGGGCTGCCCTGTTGGGAATAGGCATGGTACAGATATTACCAACTCAATGAGCTTTCTGTTGTCTGGGTAGAGCTAGGAGCCAAGACTCCCAGGGCAAATCCAAACTAAGTGGCATGGAGAAAGTGGCAGCGATTTCATTCTGCTGCAGACAGAGGGGTAGGGTGGGGGTGTGATATAGGTGCTGCTAGGATGTCTGAAAATCCTGGCATCAATGCCATTTACTGCCAAGAATCCATCTTACTTTACTCCCATCAGTGGGAAGGGGACATGTTTGTGGGATCACAAGAGTCTGCTACCAGTTCTCCATTTGGCCAGAGGTCGCTTAGTCCTGGGCTGGTCACGGCTGGCCTGGGCCCTGTGAGCTTCCTGAAGCGGACCCTGTAATGGGTGAGGTTGTGCTTCTGGATGTGGAAGAGGCCGAGGCACAATCTGAGTCTTCCTTCCTGGACAGTGTAAGTCTGCTCCCCATGTTGCTGACAGTAACAGGGAAACCCCTAGACTTGGCCCCTTAAACAAAGGCCAGAGGTGACATCCCTTAAGGAGAACCAGGGCACTGCCAGTCCCAGTCACTTGGGCTGAGGACAGGAAGAAGCAGTGTGCTCTTGGCTTGTACTGCAGCTGTCCCCAAAGGTAGAAGAGCACTTGAGAGTTGAGTGATTATTGAGAAGGAACTCCATCCCTGGGATACCAAAGGAGGCATGGCGCAGAGCTCAGTGCCTGCAGCTGCTGGAGAGGCAGGTCCCAGCAGAGGGAGCCATTGAGCAGACATGGCGAGGCTCTTGTCTCCGCAGCTCCACCCTATGGGCTAGGGAACCCTTTCCTCACACGTCTGAGCCTGGGAAGAGGGCTGCAGAGGGAAAGATTGGCTTAGGGGCCGGGGCATGTTGGGAGTTGGCATGGGCAATTCTTGGGAAAAAAGCTGACCTCATTTTGGGGGAGTCAAGAAGCAAAGACTAGAACTTTTTTTTTTTTTTTTAACGCTTGTAATAATCAGACACTAACAAATTTTTGTGCTTGGCAGAATTTCAGCCAGCCACAGTATGGAATCACCTGACAGAGGGAATGGGCTGCACTAGGTTTAGAAAAGTTGGAGCAATTCCATACAGACTGCAGAGGGCCCCTGATGAGGGAGGACTCTGGGTAGTGGACTTGGGGTGGGATTTCTCCAACTCTGGAAAGGGGGCGCCGTGGGCCCTCCCCTTTGGTAAAGAGCTGGGTGCCCAGGGAGAAGAGGCTGGCTGATCCTCTGTGCCGTCTGCCCCCTAGGACTCTTGAGGGCTTGGAACTCTGTTCTAGACTGGGGGCAGTGTCCCCCAAATGAGGTCTGCTTGGCCAATCCTCGATGCAGCCGGCATGTTTGGTCCACACTTGCACCGCTCACCCATGGAAAGATAGAAGCGGCAGCTCCAGGGATGCAGCTCCCTTGATCTGAGAAGCATCTGGGAACCCGACTGACGGACTTCCAGCCACTGTGACTGATGAGGAGGCAGAAGTAAACACACTTTTCGACTCTCAGAGCCCAGAGCGTGTCTACACAAAACGCCCGTCCACGAGTGCGATCAAGTGACCCAGGCCATTAGCATGCAGGGCGGTTTGCCAGGAGAGCAAGTCAGCAAAAACCCTGTGGTTCCATGCGTTCACCTTCTCCGTGCAGAAGCCTCGGCTGCTGCTGCAGACACTGTCCTGGGGCTCAAGAGTCATGTGCTTGCTTGCTTTGCTTTTTTTTTTTTTGGAGTGGGGAAGGTACTGGGTTGAATACTGGCCCCTTCGGCTGATCAGTCTTGGGGGTGACAGCGGAGAACGATTTACAAAACAGCACGGGGTTGCTGATGTTCAGGACCATACACATGGACTGAGATCTGTCTTCTGAGGGCCAGCTTATAACCATGTCTCGAGGCCAGGCACCGTCTACGGGAGGCTCAGAGCTCTCTTCCCATCCCCCTGGTGGCCACTCTGCGTGGCCCACCACCAGACTCTTTCTGTAACCACCCAGCTTAGTGCAAGGACAAGGACGTGCCCTGAGCAGGGGGCTGAGTACTTCTGCACACCTGACTAAACATCTTCGCCAGGAGTTTTTGGGAGTTGGACTTGGAGACACCGAAGCCATTGGGCTGGACAAAGAAACCGAGGGCCAGGATTGCAAGGCTCGGCTCACCCATAAGGTAGCCTGGTTGGAGGTGTGGCCAGAACCTAGGCTGGGCTTGGAGGCCAGGCTTGGGGCCTTTGTGGCAGTCCTAAAGGCTTTCTGTGGCAGGCCAGGCCCCAGCCTGGTAGGGAAAGGGCATGCAGTGGGGAGAAGCAGGGACTCAGGCCGGATCTGAGGGACGAGGGGAAGGGAGAGGTTCTTCCCCCTGGGGAGCTGGGCTGGGTCTCTCTGCCCCTCTCTCTGTGGCCACCCTCCTAGCCTCACTGCCAGGGAGCTAGGAGTCTCTGCTCAGGGATTGTGTGAACTTGCTCTTTCGCGGGTGGCAGGAGAGGCCGGCTCTGTTCTCCACATGACAGCATACTTTTCTGGGTCGGAGGCTGAGTTGAAGTGGAGCAGATGGAAGGGCTGGGCTCTCTCCGCTCCCCTTCCATCAGATCTTGTTTCATTAGAGCTCAGGCTTCGGACCTCTGGTGGCCGGCTTGTGGGGCAGCATCTAACCCACAAGTGGGATGTGTCTAACACAGAGGGTGAGGACTCCTGCTCCACTCAGGCTCCGCTTGGACTTGGGCTCGTGAGGTTGGGCTGGCTACCATCTGAAAAACAGGGCTTCTGACTAGTCACCGGGAATCAGAAGTAAATTGTTAAAGCAGTTAAAACTGCTGTGGTCGTCTTCAACCATTTCCCATCCAACACACCTAGGGACACAGTGCACACCATGAGTGACAGCGGCTTACCACAGGGGATTTCCTATGGGGTCAAGGGGACGTGGAGCAGCTCTAGGGGAACAAAGGAGTTGGATATGGCCCCAAATGAAGACTCACTTGGCCTGAGACCTATCTATTCCAGGTCAGGACTGGTCACAAAAGGAGGTGAGCAGAGACCCCTCAGCTATACCAGGTGCTTCACCAAGGACTCTGGTCCTTTTCCAACAAAAAAAGAACCAGAGCTCTGCAGGTGTGAGCAGAGGCCTGTGTGTGTGTGTGTGTGAGCGTGCGTGCATGTGCATGTTGTGCGTGTGGTGGCAGGCCCAGTCTGATGTCAGTGCCGAGGCGAAGGCAGGGCATGGCACCCCCACGACCTATGGTGCTCGCGCCAGAGTGGCCACAGCTCCGAGGGCTTCTGCCTGTGGCCGTGTTCCGACTGCCTCTCTCGTGTCAGGAACGGTGACTTCAGTGCCATCGAGCGGAGTGACAAACTAAGATGCTGGCGTGGCCTGTCCCATGAGTCCAGTGCCAGGGGTGGGTGAAGGAAGGGGAGACAGGAAAAGGAGAGAAGCCCCCGTCCCTGAGCTGAGCTTCTTGTTCCACGCTATCCTGGTGGTTTCAGATGGATGGCTGCACTGTTGGGACGAGCAGCCAAGATGTAGACGACATTTTCCTGCAGGAAGGTAGGCCAGTCCACAAATCTGGAGTGGAAGCAGAGAAGAGAGGTTTGGGAGGCTGGCTGCAATGCCTGAGCCCCAGTCAGGATCAGGTAGCCTGGCCCGAGTAAAACGCAGGAAGCTTTGGCTCCTATCTGAGGGAGTCATGCTTGTGGCAACCACGCTGGCAGACCAGCTGGCTGGCCCCAACAACCGTGCCCTCTTGGAACCTGGTTTCTGGGGTGAGCCCTTGAGGTGGCCAGCTGGCAGTGCGCCGTGACCTCCCTCTTGGGTGTGTTTCGGGAGGGGTGTGGGAGCAGACAGCCAGGTGAAGAGGTCCCACTCACCTGGATTCCTGCTCTGTGGGCAGCAGGCTCTTGTCCTGGCTCTTGCTGCTGCTGCTGCTGGCTGGGCTGCTGTCTGTGATGGGGCCCACGTGGCTGATGCTGCTGTGCACAAGGACACGGGCGTGCTCAGGATGGGGAGGGAAAGGACTGCCTCCTCCGACCTTCGGTGAACCCACAGCTCGGGAAGTACACAGCCGGGCTTTCCCGACACGGGATGACACAGTTTGGAGACGAGGCTGCCCTGTGTCCTGACCAGTAAAAACTGCTGTCCTCTGTGTAATGGGCAGGAGGACCTGCGCCTGGCTATTTACTCAGAGGGGCATTTGGCCTGGACAAAGGAGGGCGGCAGCAGGGACGGGGAGGGAACAGACCTGACGCTGCAGGAAGGAGCCTCTGAGAGGCGTTTGCAGAACCAGGAGTTGCGGGCGCGGCGGCACTCTGCCTCACTGATGGTGTCCCCGTTGCCGCGCGCCAGGAAGGTGGTTCGGGCTCGTTCTCTCTCCTTGACTGTGAGCAGCCTCAGCAGAGAGTTCTAGTGAGAAGACACAGGTGAAGGATGAGCTGCAGGTAAAACTGTCCAGCCAGAGAGCAAGCGTGGCCACCTCTGCCACTGTGCACAGGGCTTCTCCGGAAGCCGTTCAGAGCCTTTCCGGCAGCACCTGTGCTCTCAGTGGGTCCACTGGGTCCCTCTTCCTCAGTTTCCCCAGCCTGGGACCTGGGTCCCTACCGCTGGGTGGAACCTGAGCCCATTCCTGGCCCTTGCCCCTGCTCAGAGAGAGAGTGCCCTGTGTCTCCTAACACTGGGCAGGCATCCCATGGCCACTGCATCTCGGGACGTACCCAGCCTCCTTTTAAAAATCTGCTTTATGGTTTTGGCTCCTGCGTTTGAGTATGCTCAAAGAGTTTCTAGTTAGAACAACTTCATGTTAGCTCTGCTTCCAGTGGGTTGTATCGTTTGACATAACTCTCAAGTGGGTTTCGAAAGAGAGGCCCTCACCTGGGGTCGCAGTTGCTGCAGAAGGAGGAGGGACTCATGGGACAAGAAGTCGGGCCATTCCACGTGGCCCCGATGTTCGGGGTCCAGGGCTGCAAACTGGCGGGCTGCTTGTGCCTCTTGTTCCTCGCTCAGGGCCCTGGCACTCTCCCCGCGCTTTGCGGCTTGGTGGCGGTAGCGCAGGAAATCCTCCAGTGTCAGGGAACAATCTGTGGGGAAGCACCCATGCTGGCCGTGCCCACCCCCTTTCCACAGCCTCTGGGGAATCTCCATCACGTCCAGGACACCCTTCAGTGTCCCCATGCCCATAGAACTCATTCAGTCTGTCTCCCATAGCCAGGGTGCCTCTGTTGGCTCACAACTTGGGAACAGCGACTATTTACCCCCTGCCCCCTGCCATACTCCCTCTGCCCCGATCCGCCCCAACAGCCCCCAATCCCAGGATCCACCTTTATGCTTCATCCTCGAAAGTGTGCAGGAGAACGCTGCCTGACCCCCTCCCACCCCTACAGCCCCCACAGCCTCACCAGGGATGACTTTGCACTGCTGAAAGGTTTCCAGGAGGCTGTACATCTCTTCCTCCGTGAGCAGCAGGTTGAGGTTGTCCTGGGGAACAAGAAGAGCAGAGTCAGTGGTCATGTAGGTCAGTGAGAGAGGCAGGCTAAGGCTCAAGTGACAGACACAGTGCTTCAACTGGAAGGGCCATTCCAGGATGCCCAACCTCCTTCGGCGGCTCACTCACACTCAGGGCACTGGGGCTCCCTCAGAGCTGCCCAACTCCGCGGCAGAATCTCCCAGGGAACCTAGAGAGCCCAGTCCCTTTACTCAGACACTGGTTTTAGAATGATGCTCTGAGCCACCCTAGGGATTCCTGGTGCAACGGAGAAGGTGACTAGGGAGCGGGCCGAGTTGTGAGCCCCGGTAGTATCGCTGTATGGATTTGGCTCTGACGTTAGACTGTACCCTAAGGGTTTTTTATTTAAGCTGTACTTCTAGTGCATTGTGTCACTTGAAATAATTCCCAGGTGGGTTTTGAGAACGAGATCGCGATGATAAAGCTCCCAAAGCCGAAGGAGGCTGCGCTCACCTTTGGTGACGCTGCAGCGACTGGACTTCCAGACGGGCTCCGGCACGACATTCTGGTACCATTACCAGATAGGCTGGACACCATGAAGAGGTTTTCTGGCAGCAGGTGAGTTCCCCCCAAAACACCAGCAAAGAGCAGGCTCTGCTATTTCATAAGAATTCCCTTATGGCTCACTCACTCTCTCACTCACTGTCTCACTGACTGTCTCTCTCACTCACTCACTCACTGACTGTCTCACTCACTGTCTCACTCTCTCACTCACTCACTCACTCTCTCTGTGTGTCTCACTCACTGTCTCACTGACTGTCTCTCTCACTGTCTCACTCTCTCACTCACTCACTCACTCTCTCTGTGTGTCTCACTCACTCACTCACTGTCTCACTCTCTCACTCACTGACTGTCTCACTCTCTCACTCACTCACTCACTCTCTCTGTGTGTCTTACCCACTCACTCACTGTCTCCCTCCTTCCCTCCCTCCCTCACTGTCTTACTCACGGTCTCACTCTCTCACTCACTCACTGTCTCACTCGCTCACTGTCTTTCTGTCTCACTGTCTCTTTCACTCACTCACTGTCTCTCACTCACTTGCTCACTGTCTCTCTCACTCAATGTCTCTCATTCACTCACTGTCTGTCTCACTCACTCACTGTCTCTCTCTCTCCCTCACTCACTGTCTCACTGTCTCCCTCCCTCCCTCACGGTCTCTCTCACTGTCTCACTGTCTCTTTCCCTCCCTCACTCACTGTTTCACTCACTGTCTCTCTGTGTCACTGACTGACTGTCTCTCTGACTCACTCAGTCTCTCTCACTGTCTTACCCACTCACCCACTAACTCACTTACTCACTGTCTCTCTCACTCTCACTCACTTACTCACTGTCTCACTCACTCCGTCACTCTCTCTCACTGTCTCACTGACTGACTCACTCACACTCACTCACTCACTCATTGTCTCTCTGTCTCACTCACTCACTCACTCACACACTGACTCACGGTCTCACGGTCTCACTCACTCTCTCCCTCACTGTCTCTTTCTGTCTCACTCACTCATGGTCTCTCTCTCTCTCACTTACTGTCTGTCTCTCTCACTCACTGTCTCTCTCACTGCCTCAGTCTCTCTCACTCACTCACTGTCTTACTGTCTCTCTCACACTCACTCACTGTCTCTCACACTCCCTCACTGTCTCACTCCCTCACTGTCTCCCTCCCTCCCTCACTCTCTGTCTCTCTCACTCACTGCCTCTCTCTGTCTCTCTCACTCACTCACTGTCTCAGTCTCACTCAGTCTCTCTGTCTCTCTTTCACTGTCTCTCCCTCCCTCACTGTCTCACTCACTCACTGTCTCTGTCGCTCTCACTCACTCACCGTCTGTCACTCACTGTCTCTCTCTCACTGTCTCTCTTACTCACTCCCTCACTATCTCACTCCCTCACGGTCTCACTCAGTCTCTCTCACTGTCTCACTCACTGTCTCTCACTCAGTCTCACTCCCTCACTGTCTCACTCACTCACTGTCTCTCTTACTCTCTCTTACTCACTGTCTCACTCGCTCACTATCTGTCTCTCTCTTACTCCCTGTCTCGCTCACTCCCTCACTGTCTCGCTCACTCATTGTCTCTCTGTCTCACACCCTCCCTCCTTGTCTCTCTCACTCACTCCCTCACTGTTTTACTCACTCACTCACTCACTGTCTTACTGTCTTACTCACTGTCTCACTCACTTGCTCACTGTCTCTCTCTCAGTCTCTCTCACTCACTGTCTCACTGTCTCTCAGTATCACTCACTGTCTCTCTGTCTCACTCACTCACTCATTGTCTCTGTCTCACACCCTCCCTGTCTCTCTCACACTCACTCAGGGTTTCACTCACTCCCTCACTCTCTCTCACTGTCTCACTGACTCACTCACTGTCTCACTGTCTCTCTGTCCCTCTCACTCCCTCACTGTCTCTCTCACTCAGTCTCTCTCACTGTCTTACTCACTCAACTCACTCACTCACTGTCTCGCTCTCACTCACTCCCTGTCTCTCTCACTCACTCACCCACCCACTGTCTCCCTCCCTCCCTCCCTCACTGTCTCTGACTCACTCACTCACTCACTCACTCACTCACTCACTCACTCACTCCCTCCCTCACTGTCTCTCTCACTGTCTTACCCACTCACTCCCTCACTGTCTCACTTACTCACTCTCTCTTTCTCACTGTCTCCCTCCCTTCCTCCCTGTCTCACTCACTCAACTCATTCACTCACTGTCTTTCTGTCTCACTCACTGTCTCTGTCTCTCACTCACTCGCTCACTGTCTCTCTCACTCACTCACTGTCTGTCTCTCTCTCTTATTCCCTCACTGTCTCGCTCACTCCCTCACTGTCTCTTTCTGTCTCACTCACTCACTGTTCTCTCTCACTCACTCACTCACTCACTCACTCACTCACTCACTCACTGTCTCACTGGCTGTCTCTCTCTCCCTCCCTCACTGTCTCACTCCCTCAGTCTCTCTCACTGTCTTATTCACTCAACTCACTCACTGTCTCACTCGCTCACTGTCTCTCTGTCTCACTCACTCACTGTCTCACTGACTCATTGTCTCTCTCACTCACTCACTGTTTCACTCCCTCCCTCACTCTCTCTCTCACTGTCTCTCTCACTCTCACTAACTCACTGTCTCTGTCTCACTGTCTCACTGTCTCTCATTCCCTCACTCTCTCTCACTGTCTCACTGACTGACTCACTCACACTCACTGTCTCTCTCACTCACTGTCTCATTCACTGTCTCTGTCTCTCTCTCACTCACTCGCTCACTGTCTGTCTCTCTCCCTCCCTCCCTCACTGTCTCTCTCTCCCTCACTGTCTCACTGTCTCTCTCTCTCACTGTCTCACTGGCTGTCTCTCACTCCCTCAGTCTCTCTCACTGTCTCACTCGCTCACTGTCTGTCTCTCTCTCTTACTCTCTCACTGCCTCACTGTCTCTCTCACTGCCTCAGTCTCACTCACTCACTCACTCACTGTCTCTCTCACTGTCTTACTCACTCAACTCACTCACTCACTCACTCACTCACTGTCTCTCCCTGTCTCTCACTCACTCACTCACTCACTCACTCACTCACTCACTCACTCACTGTCTCTCTCACT